TATATATATATTGTAATTAATTATTTATGGAATAATAGAAGAGAAGTGAGAAAGGAAGAGGGTCTCTCTCCTTCATTTGATTTCCTGGCATTGCGTACGAAAGCAGAATCCAAGATTTTCTCTCTCTCTTTCTGTCCCATTCAGTAGTAATTTCCTTCCTATCCACGCGCCCCGTACCTCTCATTTCTTACACCTACTCCTCTAACCAATGTGCAATGGACAATCCAAACAATAAATGATAAGTATTTATAAAATTTATATTTAATATAAAATTATTAAATAATATAATATTTAATAAAAATTAGATTAATATTATTATAATTTTTATCATATATATATGTATAATAAATTTTATATTCTTTTACATTTAAACTAATAATTTAACATGTGTAATACATAAACAAGTTTATTATATAAAGTATAATTATAAATTTAAATATATAAATTATATTTTAAATTTATAATAAATAATTTATATTATAATTTGTATATGAAATAAAAATTTATATTTAATATATAAGAATTATTAAATAAAATAAAATATAAATATTATATTTATAAATAATATCTAAATTTATTATTTTTAAATAACAACAATGACAACAAAATTAAAACCAAATATTTTACATACAAACATTAATTGAGATAAATAATAACGATTTGTATCTCTTAATTAAATTATTTAAAATTTAAATTTTATTTAAATTAAATATAAAATAAATTATTTAAAAAAAATATTTATCTTATCTGTATTCATAACTCTAACAAAATTTAATTACTTCTGAAAATGAATCCTTTTGTACTAAAATTATGACTGGAGAGAAGATATCACTTTGTTTTTTCGAGATCAATTGTGAAATCAATTCTACCCCTAATAAATTTTTAAATTGAAAAAATTGCGGAACATAATCAATTCTCCTAAAATTGTTCTTGTTAGCTCCAAGCGTGACTTTCAAAGCAAAATAATCTAACATGCTTTTCTGACAATTTTCTTAGACTTGGTTTTAATATGTTCAAATCCGATTATTCAAGGGAAAAAAAAAATCAAATCCGAGAGAAAGCAGCAAGCATATGTTATATTATTAACCTACTTAATCACAAATTCACAATTCATAAAAAAATAATAGTAGTTGAATGCAATGTTTCACATACACGACTTTCACTTTTCATTTAGTTTTTAATAAAAGAACCAAAGTTGTATTCTAAAAACACATTTTTTTTGTTAATTTTACATAAAACAAATTATTATTTTAATGTTAAAAAATAGCAACCAAAGAAGTCGTATATGGTCTCATGACTTTGCCTTTTAAAAAATAAAAATAAAATAAAAGTCGTGTTTTCAGAAACAACTTTTTGTAAGAAGAAAAAAAAAAGTCATGTGTAAAACACTACTTTCAAATGACTTATTCTATTTCAGAAACTTTTCAAAAACTTATCCATTTTCAGAATTTTAAAATAAAAAAAAAAATTACACCCCTTCCCTTAAAAAAAACCCCTTTCTGATTCTCATGAGAATATAACCGCATTCACTTTTGTCATAAAAATGAAAATGAAGCAAAACGTGACAATTTCACTTTCTCAGATTAGTCTTTAAATTATACTCTAAACCTATAAATGTTACATTTCCATATCAACTTTCCGCTACATACTTGAAATGAGTACACTAAACATAGTCTATTCGTCATAGAGTTACAAGTGACAAATAGATAGATTACATAACTTTTAAGTTAAATCACAATAAATTGTTTAAAAATAATTTCTAAATTCATTTAAATCTATTAAAAAAATATTTAAAAATCTAATTCATCTTATCTTTAAAAAAAAATTCAATCCATTCATTAATAATTGTTTAACAGATTAATATTCCATTTATTCATTAAAATATGATTTAAAAATTATATGGTTTTTTTTTTGTAAAAGTCTTTTAAAAAAATATTATAAGTTATCATATTATTATATAATTTTTAAAAGTCTAAAAATACTTCTTTTTATGTTAAAATAATTTTTTAAAATCTTAATACAATACATTCTCTATGGATTTTGAAAAATAGTGAATAAGTTAATATCTACTTATAAAATTAAATGGATGAATTAGATCCAATCTATCATTATTATATTTGTATAATGAATAAATCCTATGAATTTACTTATAAATAAATTAAATATAATAGATAAATAGATTGGTATAGGAGAATAAGAACTAAATTTGATGGGTTTTGACATATTATGGGTGCATCTTTAAAAGTTACCATGTAGCAGTTTGGGGTTGGGGATGCATGGTGTATGAAATAAACTCAAATTAATAGTTACTTAATAGATGACATGTAAAGATTGCAAAATTAGAAGTGTACTTATCTTAATAAACGTTTATCTCTCTCTATATATATATATACTATTGATTTAAATACATATAATAAAGGTGTATCCATAGAAGAATTACTCCCACAAACAATTTAATTTCCCTCTCAGCTAACCTCCCGCCACCAAAACTTACATCTTTGGACTTTATTTTCTTTTTTTTTTTTTTTTTCTTGTGAAAAACAAAATAATCAATTAGTAGGGGGATTGCAATTTAATAGAAAAAAATATTTATACTGAACATCTGTACTTCCTTTATAACTACAAAACAGACACTGGAAAATCATTGATTACTCTACTGAAGAATTGGGTATTGAGGAGAACTTTCTCACCATACATATCGACAACAAAATAAATCTACGACCATGTCATAAGCTAAAAGCACTATTTGATGGAGGTCCAATTCATTTAAGCATGCAGCCTAATATGCAATGTAACTAAAAAATCACTAGTATAAATCCAAGACACTGAGGTGCACAAACTGGTATATATCTCCTCTCAACAGTTCTTAAACGAGACAACCAAGAAGAAATCATGCGACATTATTGAAGTTGGTATCCACCAAAGACTAAATGAAAATCAAACATATACCCAAATTCGGGTTTGAAGAAATTTACAAGAGAAATCCCCATGCTTGAGATTGAACATCATGTGTTCCACCAATTTTGAAATGGACCTGCTTTTTGCTTACCCTCTATAAATTCTCATCTATAAATTTAAGCCTCTTTCAGTGATCAGATTAACCGGATTGATGGAGGATTACCTGCGGGACACCTTTGTCTACGGGGCCTTCTAGGTGTCTTGCCCCAGCCTGTCAGGCTTCTATCCTCCAATCCCACTTCAATGCTATTGAGCTGTTGAATAAGTGGGGTGCTTGTTTCAGTGGTTGCCACCGGAGGAGGGGGAGACGGGGTAACCTGTGGTTGCGATCGCCTCCTACCTCTGCCACACCCATTCCTAGAAGAGCTTCTCCTGTTTAATCCTGTCCATGCATGACCTGTTGCTCTCATAAGCCCTCCAAACGTTTGGAGATCTTCTGTTACTTCATGCCTTGATAGAGATGCAAGGCCTGGAAGGATGTCCCTTTGGAAGTCCCTCCGCTGCCTCCCTCTCCTAGCTGGCCCCTTTCGTGTCCGAGGAGGTAAAGAAGTTGTTCCAGTTTCTTCCACTTTGAAGTTTTCTGGAACAAGGGGCTGGGGCATGTAGTCTTCTTCCTTTGTCTCTGTCAGTTTCAATGTCATTGATTCAAAGTAATCCATTCCTTCTGGGGAAGATTCCTCATTATTGTCACCATCTTTTTCCCCTAAATTATCAGTCTGCTTCTGCGGATCATCCACACCTGAGGAAACTATATCTGCAAACCAACTTAGAGGATCCACCACCGTGCTTTCTGATGGGCAGCTGATCATATCATCCACTTTCTGGCAGCAAGATGACAAAACAACAATTGCCTCTGCTGCATGCCTCATAAGTTCATTCTGCAACTTTTCAACTGTGTCTTGTGAGCCTAGTGGTGATACTGAAGGACTTTCAAGCTTCTTTTCTTCAGGAATGGCATCCTCCTCTATCTCAGGAACAGCAGGGGCTTCAAGATCTATTCCTGCCTTTGTTTCTAAGTAGGTCGCATGAGTAGTTGTCAGAAATGTTTCATCCTCGCTCATACTCAAGTTCAGGTCAATCTGATTTCTAGAGTTGGCTTTTATTGTAGATGATCCTGTCTCACAAACAATAATTTCAGTGACAGCTTGTTCCTCCAAATCAGGAACAGTAGCATCACAAGGCAAGTTAATATCAAGGATCTGTTTTTTCTGATTATTTTCCACTAATTCTACGTCAGATGGATTAGGAACTGACACAGACGGAGAGGTCAATGAAGATGACTCCTTAGCAGAAATATGAGGTATGTCAAATATAGGAACACCAAGAATTTTCCTTTTACCAGAGCTCTCACTAACTTCTGTCCTCCTTGGCTCAATATCACTTGAACACAAACCTGGAGTTGCACTGTGCATAAATTTTCCATTAGACACCTTTCCAGTTTCATCTTTGTTAGATAAAGAAGCAACTTGGAAAACATTTAAACCTCCGGCATTTAAGCTTCTACTAGCATTTTGTGCCTCGTTCTTACATGTTGTCTTGGCTCTAAGCCAAGGCAACAGTGCAAGCTGCTCCTCGTGCTTCTGTTCTCCATCCATGATTCCAAGACTTGACTGGGAAACTAAGTTGCTGGGTGAACCATTTGAAAGTATCTCATTCAAGTTAATATCTTTTGCAGACTTCATGTCATTGCAATTTGAATTCAAATTTGAACTCTTGTAGCAGTTTGCTGAACCATTGTTGAAGTACTCAGGAAATCTCTTGCAATCATTATCAGGGCTAAGATAGCTAATTGAAGATATGTTCATTGACAGCTCCTTGGATCCAGATGAAGTCCCAGCGTAAAATCCATTTTTCCCAGATGCCTCGCATCGAAAACTGGGATTAAGCTTCGAATTGATATTTATAGGCCAACAATCTCCCAAAATCCTATTACTTTGATGTGACTGGGAACTCCTACTCAAGACACCAGATGCATTTAGACATGGAGATGGAGGTGTCTGTACAGATGTCAACTTCTGGTTTAGGCTACTACTTGCCATTTCCCAAGATGAGTGAGACCAAGACCTAGCTAAATCTGAGGAAGGAGCAATTGCAAAGAGACCATGCCTATGTGATGATACAACAGACTCTGGATGTTTATTAGCAGAATATTCATCTCTTTCGCTGATATCTAAACCACTAGCTGTCTTTTCCCTCAACAAATCAGCCCTGCTTCGATTAGTTAGATAATTGGATGTAGGCTCATGAACTTTACCGAGTGCATCTTGCATTGTTTGGGAAGATAAAAGTGATTGCTCATGTTTGAGGACTTGAGGAAAGGGTTTCAGATTGCTTTTAGCTTGCCCTGCCATCATTAAAAACTTAACTTAATGACATAATTTATCAGATATGATGTCAATATTAGTACTTTTTACTGTCACATGATCGAAAAGGAAGATTTGGTCTAAAAGAAATACATATAAAAATACAATGTTTTTCTAAATAATTCAAAATTCTACTTGGAGCAAAAATATCCAATTCACTAATATTACAAAAAAAACAAATACTTTATCAGATTATTTTAACAAAATCACAACACATGCTAATTTAGCTAACATTTGTCTTTGGAATGTATCAGATAGGAGAGGCAGGTTTCAGAATGTAAATTTGAAGCAAGCAGCTCAATAAGAAATCTAACCTGACTCTATTGAAGAAATCCACATTTTTCCACTCCTGTCATTCTCCAAATATCCATTATTTCGAGCCCAACTGTCAGTTCCATGATGTGAGTTCAGTAAATCTTCCTTGGACAAACCAAAGAACCTTGACTTATGTTTGGAGGATAGATCAGAGCATTCAGTTGCCCCTTGATAGGGATTATGGTTCTGATTTGGAACATATGCAACATCATTTGTTTCTTCCACATGAACAGGTTCATTTAAGTCTGCCAAACCATTTCCGCTTCTTAAAGACTGCTCAGGTCTTGAAATATCTTCCTGGCTGCTAGTCTTCCCACCATTACCACAAAAAAGCTTCACATCACCTCCCTTGTCGGGTTTACAATTTATATCAGAAAGAAATTGTGTTGTTCCACGTATCTTTTCATCACCAGGATTTTCATTTTCCTCAGTGTCAATGTACTCATCAGCAGGGAGGTGAAGGTCAAACATTTTTCTCCTCACCTTTGAGGGTCTGAACCCTAGTATCTCAACATCTTTCGAGCTGCTCCCATTTGGGGATGGGAAAAGACCAGCTTGCTTACTGATTCCTTTATTAGAACTCAAAGGAGAATGAATGCCCTCAATGCCTGAAATAGATGGTCTATCACAAGTAGAACTTGCTACTATTGGAAATCCAGAAATGTGCCATTTTTTACCATCTTCAGATGTTATCTGAGATGCCAAGGGACCTGTGGAAAATGGTGTCTCAACAGATATTTGGTTTCTGTGTAAATCTTTCATTTTAACTTCATCCATCAAATCCCTTTGTATTCTGTATAAGCGGTGAAGTTCAAAGACCTGATTAAATACATAATATAAATATATCAAAAGGTTCACTAATCATAGATTTCATAAAGAAATAAAAAACTACATTGAGAGTTGATTAAAGTCAATTTCGCAATCAACTAGTGTTGATTGCTTACCTGAAATACTAGTCACTGCCACAATTGATAAAAAAACACATTTCAAGGGGGGGGAAGAAAAGTCTTAGGAGAAGCACAGAAAATCAAAATTCACAATCCATAAAGACTCTCACTTGTATTCTTAAATGGACTAATAAAATTTAATGCTTTCACATGGAAATCTTCCTGATCGGTATTATTTGGGCTAGAGGCCAAGGGGTAAAAAGAACTAGATCTTTCATACCTGATTCTTAAATATGGCCTCATGATCAAGCATCGTCTTCTTCACAACATCCTTATCATGTGTTGAACATACATCTGCGGCAGCACTCGACAGATAATTATGATAATACTGCCCATTGGCCACTGTTTTATCTCCATAATATAGGGGCCAGCCACAACTGCTGGATTCCTCATTAAGATCTCTCATTGAGTAATGCCCTGGCAGACTCTGAACTTTGGTTCCCATCCCTGAAAATTGAACATTGTTATATTTAATCGAGTTTCCTATCATGAATTAACTGATACATAGCTTCCATTTTCAACCCAAGATTATCACAATCCATACAATACCTTAATTTATTTCAGACCCATTAAAAAGATACGCACGTTGGTTAACATTCCAAATGTTGCATGACATGAAATACCACAAACAGTCAAACACAATCCATACAAGCAGCCAAATTCAAATCCTGATTTAATGACATGACATATAATGTGCTAGCAACGATACTAGCATATCAAGAAAGCCTCAGTATTTTTCTTAATTTATGCATTAAATTTACTTGAATGATTAAGGGAACTTATGAAAAAGTTCATTAATCTATGTGTACAATGAATGAAATTAAATATTCAATTTCAACATAGAAAGAATCTTCACAACTTTAGTATGGTTAAAGAGTATTTGAGTAAACTAGTTAACTTATTTTTCCATAAGTAGATTAACTTTTTAGCAATCCATTTTATTTGGAGAAAAAAGAAAAAGTTAAATAAATTAGTAATGAATCAAAGAACAAGAGGCAAGCAACTCATATGCCATGCAATTAGTAATTTGAGATGTGCAAGGTTGAAGTTTCTGATCAGTGTCATAACACCAAATTCAAATGTGTGATACCACTTTAAAGCCTTTACATGCATGACAAAAAAGACTATGCACCCAAGTTATGTGAAGTACAACAAGAATCTAATTACTACTCCTTTCAACTCCATAAATCAGCTTTTATATTGAAAGCAAATTTGGATTACCTCAATAAGTGCAGGAAAGCAACAGCGTGTATTTAATAAAGGATCTAGTTAGAAACAAGAATTTCCATGTTAAAAATGCAAATGGTACCTGCTGCTAGATTAAAAAATCACCACATCAGAACAAGCATTTAACTTAGTTTAATAGATCAGCCAGGGTAAAAACACTAAATTAACCACACAAAAAATGCAAAATATTTACAGATTTGTTGAGCTAGAATGTATGTGAAACAAGTTCCACGTGTTAGAGACAAGAAAAGAAAGAACTTGCTACAACATCAAGCTCTTGAAAACCACAAACTAGAAGACTCCTAATGGCAGGTAGAAAACATCTGTTGCAGTTTAAAAATTGTGCATAATCTAGTTCATACCAACTATCATATAGGTTAACTTTCAGAAACCATAACTACATTAACTACCAATTAAATTCACAACTCTTGCTCCTGGACATCAAGTACTACTTCAGACTACTATAACAAGCAAAGACATCCCTAAAATAGCCAACCTGTGGGGACTAATGACGTATAAAATACTTGAATTCTCGATGTAGATGCTACATAGTTGGTTCTCATCCTTTAGAGAAGAGACTACAAGTATAATAGGAGCATCAGTCGACAAAAGGATCACCCTAAGATGATCATCTCGTGGCTATTGAGAACGAATCAAATCAGATAGTTCTATTTCTTATTCTTAATGTTTTCGATCTCGGTTCCGTAGGAACAAGTCATAAAGATAGAGAAAAATCGATCATTCACAACCACTGATGAAGGATTCCTCGAAAAGTTAAGGATTAGTAGAGATCTACTATATATTCTTAAAATTCACTAAATGCATACATTTCTCAGTCGTGCACTACAAATGCAATTTGATACATTTTAGGCTTTTGAAAGAAAGCACTCCAGTTTATAAAAATGACAGACTGACAATCACATTCCTTCCCATATTGTGGTGTTGAGGACAATTACCCTTAACAAGCTGGTAAAGTCATAGTAAAAACCTTTGAGCCTATATTACTGCACCAATAAAAAGGGCCTCATGATATGCCAATTCAGAAATGTTTCACTTCCATAACATCAAATATTGATAAAAATATGTTTTATGTATTCCAATATTTTTTTTTTGTTGATAACTTTGATCAAGAATATCAGTGATAACTTCTACAGTTGAACAAGTAGCATGCGTATGCCGATGACTTATGAAGAATAAAATATTGTCTCATTTTCCGATTTCCCAATAAAATACTGACAACTAAGCTAAAATTACCAACAGAGAGATGTATTTTTTTTTTTGCCTAGTCATAATTGTTTTGATGGAAGGCAAAAGGTTTGAATGACTTAGCACACCATGGCTATAGTAACCACATTTAAAATAATAATGGATAAGAATACAAATTCACAATTTAACTATCACGGCGAAGTATACAATGCGCAAAACAAACTCATTAAAGTAGCACAATCATGAGCGATTAGTATGCTTATCTATTCTTTCAAATGTATTATAATACCCACTCATTCTCCATCAATAATCCTAGGACTGAGGAATTCACAAAATTTCAGTGAAATAATTATTGGCTTTCAACTTAGATAGCTCATCACTGTAATAAAAAAGAAATCTATGGAGAACTGGAGCAGCTTTAAACTAGGCAACTTATGTTACGTCCTTCACTCCAATTTTGACTAAAAAGAAAGAAGAGATAAAATTAACACAAAATCTCAATTCTATCCAAATTGAAATACACAAGTGGTCTCTCAATTCAATCAGAGGAATACAACAATCTTCGGTCATTATTTTATAAACAGAGAGATTAAAAACACACTCGAAAGTAACCTAAATGAATGGCAAATTTGAATTGAGAAGATCCTACACAACAATTACAAAACCAACGGATATTATCACCTACGAAACGTCAGAATATTGCAGTTACACTTACCACATACAAAGTAAAATAAATAAACGAAAAAGTTAAATTATCCCCGAAACAATAGGAACCCAGAAATTTAATTTTCATCGCAACAAAACACCATAAAACTAAATTTACCAAACCATGAAATTACCATAAAAATATGCACAATTCAGCAAGTGTTGCGAAATTACCTTAGACCCACATCCTCTCTTCACCTGTTCTCAAGAATCCACCATGGATTGTTTCTACCATTCAACATCAGAGAAGAAAAATTCAGTGTTTGACTCTTACTGTAATAAATAAATAAATAAATAAAGTAGCTAAAACTAACAATTGTGGGAGAAACAACGAAGTGGGTGTTGCTGCAACAACATTGAAGAAGCTTAGATCGTCGATTTCGATCTGCTGGGCCACTCCTGTTCCTCTTTCTCTCTCGCATAAAGAAGAATAGAGCTTTATTTTTTTAGAGAGAGAAAGAGAAAAAAAAAATTAAAAGAAGAATTTGCTTAGAGAGAGATCCCAGATAAGAAATCTTCACACAAACAAACGACCTTCTAAGAACAGTGACATGAAATTTGTCAACATCCGGTCTCTTTTTATTCTCTGCTTTTTCTTCACTTCTCTCTCTCTTTCTTTTCCATTTTTATAAATAAATTAAATAAATACTAATTATTTATTTCGGTCTTTTTGAGGATATCAAAACAAATGCTCATTTCTAGATTCTCTCCACCCTCCTTGCTTTTTGGTACAGATATATCAAATCAAGTATTATTAAATGTAACGGAAAATGCCATTACATAACTTTTATTTAATAATTAGCAATACTTAATATTCAATTATATATTAGTATTGTAATTTATTATTGGATCTATAGTTATTATGACTATTGTCTTATAGTTATAGTAAAAATAATATATTAAAAAAAAGTTACAATATGGGGTTAAATGTGGATACATTTATTTATTTTTTCTTTTGTCAACACTCAACATGTCTGTGTTACTCCAACAGCAACGGGCACAACAAACTTGACTAATATTCAATCTTTTTAAGTTAGTTGTTAGGACTCTATAATATCTTGTTAATCAGTCTAATGATGTTTATTTAAGATAACTGCCATTCTAAGCAGTGTTTATTAGAGAACACGTGGGACCTCAGCCGATGATGTTTTTTTTTTCTTCCTTAATGCAATTGAAATGCCACTTGAGGTCATGATATTTACAAGAATGGGATTTGATTTTGGTGGTTTTCTTTCTACTTTGTGTTGTGTGATTTGTTGGTTTTTGTTTTCGCATTCAGGCACTCATGTGTTGATTGGTGGAAGGATCCTTAGCCTCAGTTTCTTTTTTTTCTTCTTCTTCTATGAGTAGTGTACCTCTTTATGGAAAGAGGGAAATGGATGGTTCCTTATTGTATTGTAATGCTCGAAGACACGTGGCAGCTTTAATGCTGAACCATCTCGATCATGCACAAAATTACAACCACGATTGATATGTTGAATTGTGATTTATTATTAGTCCTTCTTGTTGGTGGAAAGAAAATTTTATTGAATCATATTTGGATCTTGTGTTTAAGGGAAAGTGTGAAGAGGATTAGATTAACATTTGTGTCCAAACCCTTGCTAGAAAAATCATCGCGTTCTCAAGTTGTAATGCTTTGCTTTTCGATGGGATAGCATAACCATATGGTACACCAATTTATTGTTCATCGTGTTATGTGTATAATAAATTTGACCTTTTATTTTTCAAAATATGATAGTTTTTATATTTTTAATATATTTGACACGAGTGATTTATGAAATAAATTTTTATATTATATAAAAATAATAAATAAACATTTTATATATATAAATTATATTTTGATTAAAATTTGTAATGAATAGATGTTTTTGAAATTATATTTTAATTGTGATATATTTTTAACTAATTAATAATTTATTTGAAATTTAACTTTAAAATCAAAATGAAAATAATAAATTAAAAATTAAAAATGCTATAGTTTAAAGAAAACTAAAATATTTTTGTCAAAAAATAGTTTCTAAAACAATTTCATTCATAAGATTGTAATTGAGTCATGTATAAAGTATAAACATTAATCAACCTCAACTTCAAGTTTTTGAGGTTGTGTTCTCTCAGTTGTATCCCCTAATTGAGACATACTTTGGAACTTAGGCATTAGAAGAACATATTTGATGATCTACATAATTGTGGTATAGATTTTATTCGATTCATATTATGGTTTGATGGTTACATCCATTCAAAATTTATCCAAATTAATCCTTTATCAATTGTGAAACACCATTTTACTAGAAACATGATAACTCCTAAAATCACATAAGGTTAAAGAAGAAGATCTTCGTTGTTACAAGTTGTATGTCGAAACAATCTTTAAAGGACAAAGGTGAGGAATGGTTCAAATAAATTTTTTTTTCTAGAGAACAATATCATATATAAACATAGAAGAAAAAAAAGGACAAAGGAGAGGAAGGTCCAAATAAATTTTTTTTCTTTCTAGAGAGCAATATCATAGATAAATATAGAGGAAAAAAGAGAGAGACTTAAATCACACCTTGAATATTCTTGAGATAAATCCTCCATATCTATTTTTGGAACAATTCATGAAAATTATTTTAATTTATATAGAGAAAATATTATTGATAATTTTTTTAAAATAATATTAAATTTAATTAAAAAATTAAAATGATATATTTTTTCATTAACAGATGAAAATAATCTATCATTAAAATTATTAAATTAAGAAAAAAAATCTAAAAAATCTTTTGAAAGAATGAATCTTTAAAATATTTTAGTTCAAAATAATTATTTTAATTTTTTTTAATAAAGATTAAAAAAATTATAAAGATGATCGAGGATTAAATCTAGAGTTTAATGCTTCTAACTACCACAATCATTTTTCACACAATCACTAGGTTAACTCTAGTGATTAAGTAATTATTCTAATTAAAAATATGGAATAACTTTTTTACAAATACATTAAAAAAATACATTGTTAAAATAAAAAGATACAGAAGATGTAAAACAAGAACATTCTAAATTAAAAAAAAAAACTAAAATCTTTTCATTGAAAATTGAGATCTAAAATCACTCATATGAAATATAGATATTTTAATTTAAGACATTGGATAAATTATTTGATTTAGTAAATTAATTTTAATTTTTCAGTAATATTTAAACTTCTTTTATCAAATGTTAAAATGTTATAAATAATTCAAATATTAAAAAATGATTTTGTTTATATGAATTTATTTTGTTTAAATGGCATTAATTGAAACTCAATCAAAGTTCATTCTTGAATTACAACCAAGACTTTGAAATATGAATATCCAAATCCAAGGAATGGCATGGCAGCCTGTAGTCCTTCTGTCAGATTGACGTTTGTACTGCACAATCAGAGAGTACCTTCTTTATTGTTGTTTATTTAACAAGAAAAAAGCATGCATAATCATCTCTGACAAATTGACATGCATTCATCATATCTCTCAATTTTAATTTAATTAACGCAATCAAAACCCTCATTAATTATTTTCTCCTTACAATACCTCAGTCATACCAATAACTTTTTCATTCTTTTTAGTTAACAAATTTTAAGATTTATTCATTTATTATTTATTAAAATATGAGCACAGATCTTCACTTTTTACGAAACCTATTTCTTAATACCCTAAGTTTTATATATCTTTTTTATCTATAAAAATTAAGTCTTATATATATTTTTATTTTTTTCTTTATTATTCAAATATTGTTCTCATTTTCTGAATTTTAAAAAAATACTGGAATCCTTTCTCTTGTTTTATAGTGAAAAAACATAAAAATTGACATGAAAACTATATGTTTAATAAATATATTAAATTTGTACATAGAAATTATGTACAACTAGACGTGATGAATATTTGGCCAATCAATAAGACTCCCATTAGCAACAGCAACCTCATGTAAGAAATAAATTTATGAACATGTTTGTACAAACATTCTCACAACCAAATCAATAAGCATAAAATATGTGTAAAAATGAGTATAATTATATATAAAACAAGATTCAATTACTCAAAATAAATTTCAGTAGATTTATTTTAATTAATAATTAATATTTTATATCAAATTTTAATGATTTAACCGTTAAATTAAAATTTTTTAATATATAAATTAAATCTGTAAAATTTTAAAAAAATTAAAATTATTTGATATTTTATTTTATTAATTCAAATTGATAAATAATATAAAATACTTTATATGTTGATTTAATAAATCTATATAATAAAGTATCATATAATTTTAATTTTAAAATTTATAAATTTAATCTATATATTAATAAATTTTAATTTAATACTTTAATTATTAAAATTTAATATAAAATATGAATTATTAAACAAAGAAAATCTAATATAAATTTATTGAAATAAAAAAATTTCATCTCTTATATAATAGAAACTAAACTTTTACCATGGATAGCAAGTTAGGAACCACATGATAGGTATGGACATAGAGCAAAACTTATTATATTCAATAAATATATTTAACAAGTTTAATATTTTATGATATTAATAATATTAAATAGATATATTAATTATTGAATAAGTAAATTAATATCATAAACAAAATGAATTTATTTATTTTTTTCTAAAAATATTATATTATAATTAATAAATAATAACATACAAGAAAAATATGCCTATTTATATATTTATAAAGATTTTATTAATAATATTAAATATTATATTAATTTTAATATCTTACCATATTTTATTTATTTTATACTAATAACAAAATATGTAAAGTTCAACTGCTGTCCATAATTTTTATTACCAATTTTACTTTTAATAACAACATATACACTCAAATAAGATTGCATGAATACACTACTAGAAAAGTGTTATTTTCCTGTGAATTTTTTTACAAAAAAATATTTATTAATTTTTTTTATGAATTCTCTTGCAATAATAATTTTACAAAATTTTTTTTGCAAATTTATTTGGAAAAAATAATTTACAAAAATTTCTTACAATTTTTTTATTGCAAATTTTACTACAATTTTAATGATCATAGAAAAAATTTTCCATGGTAAAAATTTATAGAAAATATTGTAAAAATTTTATCTTAATTCTTGCAGATTTTCTTGTAAAAATAAATTCGCAAGTAATGTTTACTAAATGGTAGAAAACTTTCGCAGGTAACTTTTCTTGCAGATTTTTCTGCCAATTTTAATTTGCAGGAAAAATAAAAAATAAAAATAAATTTATAAGTTTAAGAATTAAAAGATTTACCTCAAGTCTCACATCGATTAGAAATAAAACAATTAAAGAATTTGTAAGTTGAGGTAACACTCACCTTACTTTTGTATGATTGAGTGTTAGACCTGTAATTTACATGCTTTAGATGAATTTATTGTCAGCATTTGCAAGAAATTTCACAAGAAACTTTCTTGCGAATTTTTTTCGTATGAAACTTTCCTACAAATTTTTTTCGCAGAAAACTTTCCTGCAAATTTTTTTTTAAGGAAAATTTCTTGCAAATTTTAAAATTTGCAGAAACATATTATCCACGAAGGTATTACCTAGAGATAAAATTTCACAG